GCACTGCCAGGACACAAGCCGATGAAAGATAGGCTTACTCTTTTGTTGTGTGCTAATGCTAGTAGGGCTTTTAAAGTGAAGCCTTTACTGGTGTATCACTCAGAAAATCCCAGAGTGTTCAAGAAAAGCAATGTCGTCAAGAATAGATTGTGTGTGATGTGGAAAACTAATCAAAATGCATGGGTCAAAAGGCAAATTTTCAGAGAGTGGGTTAATGATGTGTTTGGCCCAAGTGTGAAAAAAAAACCTCCTGGAAAAGAAATTGCCACTCAAGTGCCTCCTGGTACTGGACAATGCTTCTGCACATCCTCCAGACTTGGAAGACCATGTGTATAGGGACTTCAATTTCGTAAAAGTGAAGTTCTTGCCTCCTAACACCACTCCTCTCCTCCAGCCCATGGACCAGCAGGTCACTTCTAACTTCAAAAAACTCTACACAAAAGCAGTGTATGAAAAGTGCATTCAAGTGACCTCTGACACTCAGATGACCCTAAGAGAGTTCTGGAAAGATCACATCACTATCCTCAACTGCCTAAGCTTTATATGTAAGGCTTGGGAGGGAGTGACTTCCAGGATTTTGAACTCTGCTTGGAGAAAATTGTGGCCAGGTTGTGTCCAAGAGAGGGATTTTGAAGGGTTTGAGGCTGACCTTGACCCTGCTGACCCTGTGGACTCTATTGTGGCACTGAGGAAGTCCCTGGGGTTGGAGGTGAGTGGCGAGGGTGTGGAAGAGTTGGTGGAGGACCACAGGGAAGAGCTAACCACTGAAGAGCTCCAAGAGCTTCAACTCGAACAGAAAACAGAGTGCAGCTGAGGAACTTGCTTCAAAGGAGGAGGCAGAGAGAGTGAAGGAGGTGCCTTCTTCAGAGATTAAAGAGGTGTGTGCAATGTGGACTAGGGTGCAAGCTTTTGTAGAGAAATACCACCCTGATCAAGCTAAAACAAGCCATATCTACAACATGTTCAGTGACAAAACCCTATCCCACTTCAGGAAAATCTTAAAGAGACACCAGAAAACAGAGCATTCTTGATAGTTATTTTGTGCGACAGGGGTTCAGTGATTCTCAAGCTGGTCCTAGTGGCATTAAAAGACAAAGAAGGGAAGTAACCCCAGAGAAGGCTTTGCTACCTAAAGTCTTTATGGAGGGGGATTCCCCTTCCAAGCACTAACCCCTCTCTCTTTCCTCCTCCCTATCTTCCAGAAGCCAGCATAATCTTTAATAAAGGTATGTAATACTTATATAATTGTTAAAAAATTATTTTTCTTTTTGTGAATATTTTTATCTCGAACGGATTAACCCTTTCAGGGTCCGTCCCATAGATCTACGGCTTTACGTTCAGGGTCCAAACCTTAGATCTACGCCAAAATTCTAGCGCTGTCAAATTTAGCACGAGAAGGCTGGTAGGCCTACATCTAAGAGAATGGGTCTGGGTGGTCAGTGTGCACACCATAGAAAAAATCTGGACGCCCACATGGCATTGTGAGAACGCCGGCAAAGTAGCATTGTTCATAGTGCCTGGCGGCAAGATGCTCTCACTCCCCACTCACTCTCCGGGCGAATTCTGACTCTCCTCTTCACAACTTACAGTTCTAAGACTGATGGAAGTGGAGCTGAAGACGAATTCTATGGTTTTGAACCATATGGTACCATTGTGCCATATGGTACAATGGTACCATATGGTACAATGGTACCATATGGTACAATGGTGCCATGTCATACAATGGTATCATATGGTACAATGGTATATGGTACAATGTATGCATAGTACATTGTACCATATAGTACATTGTACCATATGGTACAGGGTACAGGGACCCTAATGGAAATAAATCTGTCTGACTTTTTTGGGTTATCCTAGGTTCTCCAAACATATGCTGCTAAGTATGATATTCTATGTAACTTTATTTGTGTATAACTAAATAAACTTACTTATGATGCCACATGCACTTGAGTAAGTTTATTCAGGTGTACATAAATACAATTACATAGATTATCATACATAGCAGCATATGTATAAAATCCTAGGATAACCCAAAAAAGTCAGGGTGACTTATTTCTATAGTTATCCTGTATCTGTACCATATGGTACCCTGTACCATATGGTACCCTGCACCATATGGCACCCTGTACCATATGGCACCCTGTACCATATGGCACCCTGTACCATATGGCACCCTGTACCATATGGTACCCTGTACCATATGGTACCCTGTACCATATGGTACCCTGTACCATATGGTACCCTGTACCATATGGAACCCTGTACCATATGGTACCTTGTACCATATGGTACCCTGCACCATATGTTAACCTGTACTGCATGGTACCCTTTACCAAAAAGTACAATGTACCATATGGTACCCTGTAACATATACCGTGTACCATATTTTCAATAGGTGTTGGTGGCATGAGACACCAGCCAAGACTGAGTGAGTGGCTACACAAGCTAGCTACTGACTCCGCAGTTTCCGAGACAAAGTGCTTTGTCATCCACCTCAAGAAACACGTCAAGTTCCTGTACACTTGTAAATATATAATAGAACATTACTAATATACAACTTTTTTGCATATTTTTGTTGTAAACAACTATTGTAAACAAAATAATAATGAAAATATTAGTGTGTTGAATACAACAGTACCATATGGTACAATGAACCATACAGTATCATTGTACTGTATGGTACAATGTACCATATAGTACCGTTGCATCATATGGTACCATTACACCATATGGTACCATAAAGTACCATTGCACCATATGGTACCATTGTATCATATGGTACCATTGTACCAAATGGTGCCATTCTACTATGTGGTACCATTGTATCATGTGCCATTGTGCCATATTGTACCATATGGTTCCATTGTATCATAGGATGCCATTGTACCATATGGTACCATTGCACCCTATGGTACCACTGCACACCCTATGGCACCACTGTACCATATGGTACTATATGGTACCATTGTACCAAATGGTGCCATTCTACCATGTGGTACCATTGTATCATATGGTACCATTGTATCAAGTGCCATTGTACCATATTGTACCATATGGCACAATTGTACCATATGGTACCATTGTATTCAACACAATAACCGCACTAATATTTTCATCATTTTGTTTACAATAAACTTGTAAACAAGTTTTGTAAGCAATATAATGATAAACAAATTAGTGCAGTTATTGCGTGGAATACAATGAGTGTACACTAACACAATATACATTATACTGGTCTCACAGGCCACAAATGTTATTAGAAAAAGAAAAAATTAGAAAAGAAAAGAAAAAAGTATAAAAAACATAAAATAAAAAAATGGGATTTTGTGGAAGTCACTTATGTTGCCGCCACCGGGTCATTTTGGGTCAACTTCTCACCGCTGTATCTCGGTAAGTACTGATCAGAAAAAACTTTTTTTTTGTCTTATTACCTTCACAAAAATATACTCTTTAATTCTGTAAGAAAAAAATAATTTTTTTTTTTTTTTTCAAAATTTCTTGGACACTGGAGCACCACTTCGATTTTGGCCTTGGACCCTGAAGGGGTTAATTGTACTTCCAATAATTCTTACGAGAAATATTATTTCGGTTTTCAGCCATTTCGGTCTTAGGCCAAGCTTCTGGAACAGATTACAACCGATAACCGAGGGTCCACTTTAGTGTGGGGTTATGAAAAGTGTAATGAAAGGTCTGAGAAGTTGAGATAGTTTGTTCATTTAGAAAGGGTGGAGCAAAATAGGATGAGCAAGAGGGTGTATAAATCAGAGGTAGAAAAAAGGGGGTTTAGGGGCTCATCCCTGGAAGGACTAAAAGGAAGATGTGAAAGAGGTTTTAAGTTGCAAGGGCATAAGCATCCAGAAGGTATGTGTGAGCCTGCTATATCTGAGTGGAGGTGTTTTATTGGTTCTGACTTGCTATTAGTGTCAGTGATGTAAAATTTATGAAGGGATTCAAGAAACCTGGTCAGCTGGGGTTAGGTCCTAGAGGTGGAAAATACAGTACCAACACTCTGAAGAAGGAGTGGGGATGTTGCAGTTAGGAGATTCATTTGAATTTGAACTGTGATGTCTGCACACTTCTAGCAAGATAGTTAATGAATGAATATTGTTTCCCCTTTTTGTGTTTTGCATTTTTGACCCTGATGGGAGACAGATGAAGTTTTAAAAAATACAATACATTCTAGATTTATGAATTGGTAGTATTAAATATGATCCCACATTAGCTCAACTAAAAAACAAAATTTGGCTTGCAATTTCAGGTAAAACTGTTCTGCTCTTCATCTGATACATGGATACAAATGTATGTAGTAGCCTGTGCAGACTACTCTTTGAAATATGCTTGTTTCCATGAAGAAAACGGTGTCAGTTAAGAGACAGAAGAGAGAGAAAAAAAAAAAAAAAAGTCGTGCTAAACGCAAGATAGCAGGATTCCATCAGAACCATATTATTTTCATTGTAGCTTACTTTAACTTCTAACACATTACTATTCTTCTTACTAAATTCTTCCCTCTACAGAAGCTAAAATTTCTACATCTCAGGAGTAACAGTTTGTATGCTTAGAAAAGTCATTACCGTTTTTAAACAAAGGCATGCATGCTCAAAGGTTACTTGTGTTAAGTCAAAATGGTGTGAGACAGGCGACTGTAAAATCTGAGGTGGTCTACATGAGACCACAAGTTAAGAGTTCCCAGAGGAAAATATGTATCAAGATGCAAAGAAACTGTTTAAAATCTTGAATTTACAATACATATTTTAGAAAAGAAATCTACAGGATTTTGCAAGAAATTTTCTCTAATAAATATATTAAGCTGAACAATATATAAAAAAGATATCTTCAGTACACAATAAAACATAATAAATGCAAGATTTCACCATAAATATCCATATCCATTGCACAATAAGTAAAAAAAATTACTAGGAAACACAGAAATGATTGCTACAATTGACCTAGAAGATAAAAACATATGCTGAAATAGTTTTAAACTCAAAATTACTCACTTCTGGCAACATCTAGAAGGTCCTCAAGCACCTTGTAGGTTTCTGACTCAATCTGAACATACAGATCACCCATTGGAGTGACATGCAGCAAATAAACCTCTGCTATACCTCCAGCCTACAAAAGATATTTTTAATTAATCAAACTCTCCTGAAGATAGTGTGGTACTCTGGCAAGTATCAAAGAAAATGTTCTATTAAGATTATACATCAACTATGACAGATATTTTTAAGTTGAATGAAAGTCCACTTGCATTACAATTGGTAAGATAACTCTCACACTGTATGCATTTACAAAGCTCTTAAAATGGCAATGATGCTCACCTCTACCTAGATTTATATACACATTAAAATACTGATAATCTACATGGAAAAATAATTTAAACTAGTTTTTGCAAATGCAGGTCAGAACAACCTATTACGAATAGGGGTAAACATTCAGTTAAAGGATTATCACTTGCATGCAGTCTGATGACGAACATGCTGAAAACTACAAATGTTTCACTTACTTGGAAGTGATAAAGCCTATGTCTAAGGCAGAACTTTTCCTTGCATTGTAACATTCTTAAAATGGATAATGAATGAATGCTGGGGAATGCCTGAAAGTCCTATATTTTAGGAGCTGCAGGATATACTCCTGGTAATAAGACAGACATTTACAAATGAGATTTCCAATATTTTAACAAAGGAAGACTAAAATATTTCAATAACAAAGATGCTGCCTGATTGTTGCTTCAACAAAATATTGAAAAAAGTATGCACTTTAATACAATACCACCTAAGAACAAGCCATTATAAGAGACGTTTCACTTAGGATGGGTTTCAGAAAATCAATAATAGGAAATCCCAAAGTACAAGTATATGCATACATAAATACATACATACGTGCATACATTACATACATACAGAGTCTACAAATAATATCAGCACACATGCCTATAAAGTCTGAAAAGAGATTCTTTGCTATTTGAATTTGACTCCTTTAATTATTTCCTGTCAACTTCTCACAGTACGAGCTTCTACCACTACCATTATGATTTTTATGGCTGAGTGGGGATGGTAACATTTTGCCTGTCTTAGTGCTATTTTGGCCTGTCTGATACCAGCAACTTCTAGCAATTTTTCAAGATGGTTAGAAGCAAACTCAGTGTTGAGGAAAAAAGCCCACATTCTTGAGTGAGCACAAGAAAAAGTGTCAGGAAGTGAGATCTGTGCTCGTACTTGATGTGTAAATCGTCAATTATCACCTCTTTGCTGCTTCTCGTTATCTGCCCACTAACACCATTTTCCCTTAGGAAACAAAAAGAGACAGAGAAGTTAGTGACTGCAGCTGCTACTGATAACCTTTTAAAGTGGGAAGTACCAGAAGATCCTTAGATAGCAGCAGCAAGACTAAATAAAAAAGCACCCCTAATTACCGAGACATGTACCATAAAGAAACAATTATTTCCAGAAAGAACTTGGGATGCCATCTAAAATTCTTGCTAACAAACCTTTTCAAGCTAAACAAATGCAAGCCAAACGACTCCAGTTTGCAAAATAACATTAACACTGGACTACTGAAGACCAGATTAAAATAATGTAGAGTGACGAGTCCTCCTTAAAATGTGTGTTTGCACCTCAGGGACACATCAGATGCCCATCATGTGTCAGCCACTACTCCCCAACTACACAGCTAAAACCATGAAACACTAATGGAGTGATAATATAAGGATGCTTTAGTTAATTAGAAGGTTGGGGGATTATACAGCCTGCCCCCAAAAACACAACAATGAACAGAGTTTGTAAACATGCTTACGGAAATTTCCTCACATTCCAAAAGATTCATGGCACCACACACTTCATTCAAGATAGTGCTCTATGCCACATGTTAAATCTGGTCAAGAAATGGTTACAAGAAAGTAATATCCAATGACCCAGACCTCAATCCAGTGAAAATTGTGGGAATGAAAAGAAAACAAAGCTCCAGTCCAAAAAACACATCCTCTGTGCCACATATGATACAGGAAATAAAAAACATTTGAATTCATGAATTGGACATGACTTAATTTAAAAAAAAAAAAAAAAGTTTGATACAATGCCATCTTTCCTGAAATTGGTAATCAAATCACATGGAACATAACCAAATATTAAGAAGTGAAATTTGGTCTTCTTAACATTTATCCTAAGTCACTAGATATTCCTTTGCAATTTGGCAGTGGCCCAATATCACAGGCATCTATATAATACAGGACCCTAGTTGAAGAATTGAGAGGATATCCAAACGTTAAGCTTTCATAAAAATTTTACTTTTCTCTTTCTCTCTTTTTTTTTTTATATATACACTGGCTGTCTTCCAACGAGGTAGGGCAACCTGAAAAAATACACTTTCACCACTGTTCACTCCATCTCTGTCTTGCCGTAAGTACACCAGTACTACAGTTCAACTGCCCCTCCAAACTGCAAAATATCCCTACCCTTCCTTCAGAGTGCAGGAACTGTACTTTCCACCTCTAAGACTCAAGTCTGGCTAACTAGTTGCCATGAATCCCTTTACAAAATGTTACATTGCTCTCACTCCAACAGTTTGTCAAGTCCCAAAAACCATTTGCTTGGACTCACTCCTGCTGGGTGTGCTAGCTAAAATGATTACATGAGTAACATGGATTCGAACCAGTCTTTTGAGATAATTACAGGAGTGGCATTAGAAGCATATTCAAGATACATGCCATTAAGAAATGTGAGAGAGATTAAAAGGTGCTCTCTCTACAGGTAGAAAGAAGACTCACAGACCTTAAAGGTTCCAGATTATCAGAAGAACGAAAATAAACACTAGCTAGAGAACCTTGGACTCGAACTTAGTGCATCATACAGAGCCCAGGAGAGAAGCAAAATGCCATCATTGAAAATGAAAGAAATCCAAAACATGTTTTCTCTGAAGTGAAATCCAGGACAAAAAACCACACCCATTTTGACTGATGATCCCAATTAATTCTTCATGAATGATGCTCAATGCTTTAGAAATCTCTACAAAATTTTTGACTTAACATTAACACCACTTGACTTAGAAACCATTAAAAACATGCCAATGCACTCTACCCCAGGCCCAGACTCGTGGAACTCCATATTTATCAAGAATTGCAACAAATCTCTATCACATGCCATAAATATTCTATGGAGGGTTCATAACACTGTCAATAAAAAACAGACAAAGCCCCAATCCTCTAAGTGGTAGCAAGCAATCAAAAACCTACAAGCCAATAGCTAATCAAATTTATTCACAACACTTGCACAACCCAGGGTAACACGGGTTTAGAGGTCGCTCATGCCGTTCAACTACTGGACCATTATGACCTGGTCTTAGTTAAGTCAACTGGAAGATAAATAAAAGTCAGATGTAGTATATACAAACTTTGCAAAAGCCTTCGACTTAAGTAATGCATAAAATGCATGCAAAAGGAATAACTGGTCAAGTCGGTAGATGGATTTTTAACTTCCAAATAAATACAATGCAAAGAGAAATAGTCAAAAGAGTAAAAATCAGAGGCTGATACAATGAAAAGCTCCTCCCCACGGCACAATTCCCTTTTTCATCCTCATATACAACACAGACAAAGTCATGAATAATAGCAATGTATAGTCCTTTGCAGATTATATTAGTATTTGTGTGAATGACTTCCGTGGAGGATACAGCAAATCTTCTAGCTGTGGAGTCTTTCAGTAGGAAACAGAAAAAAGTATGTTCAATGAGGACAGATTTCACTTCCCATATTTTACAGCGAACAAGATGCTCTGGTATCAAGGATGCCCCCCAATTCTAATCAGATAAATTTTGGGTAAATTCTGGGTAAATTTTCAAGACTTATTTTGAGGAAAAAAAAAAATAGCACCTTTGACGCTGTAAAATACGGTACTTCGCTATGGAAAAATTGACAATATTAAAATTGGAATGAAGAACAAAACAAACTCAAACCACTCAACTGAATGAAAGATTATCATAAGGACTTAGGAGTAATAATGTCCGAAGATCTCACTTTCAAGGACCAGAACAGTGCAACTATCAAAGCTGCAAGAAAAATGATAAGATGGAAAATCAGAACCTTGGCTTGGCATCTCCCAAGCCAATCATGATTCTCTTAAGTCACTTGTTCCCTCTAGACCGGAATGTTGTTGTACACTTACAGCCCCTTTTAAAACAGGTGTAACTGAAGATATTGAGAATGTAGAGAGCCCTCACTGCCCACACAAACTCAAACACCTAAATCATTGGTTATGGTTAAAATCCTTCAAACTGCACTCCTTGGAATATAGGTGAAAGATGCATCACAGTCTAACCCTGGAAAATTCTAGAGGGACTAGTCCCAAATAGGGATGTATCGGATGTGAAAATTTAGATACGGGGGATTTTGCGGATGCGGATGCAAATGCGGATATCTGCTTACAGTACAATTTAGATGAGAATGCGGATTGCAGATGTCACATCTTGACATCCTCCCGGATTCGGATGCGGATTCTGCAGGATAGTCATAGAACACATTTTTTTTTTTTTTACCATATGACAAATACTCTTGTTGAGGGATGGACTGAACACATCGATTCCAGGCCGAGGGACTGATTACCTGAAACTCCTCTCCTTATGCCTTCCTGCTTTGTATTGGACTGATGAAGCCACTGTGTGGCGATACGTTTCTTCAATAAAGATTCCCATATGTTGCATAAGTGTCTCAATTCTTCAAGCTGTCAGTTTCCAAACCATTTATCACATGCTTATTTGTATTTAACACCATTTCAACAATTTCGCCATCACTTAAGGAATGCACAACAAGTAAAGTTATGTAGAGATGACTGATGCTCCACACAAAAGAAAGAAGGAACACTGCAGCAAGCCTACTGGCCCATGCAAGGCAGGTCCAATTCTCCCACCTTGGGTAATTTCAAATTTAGGTTGGATAAATACAAGGATAAGTCTGCTGAGTATACCTGGTAAAGTGTATGGTAGAGTTATTATTGAAAGAATTAAGAGTAAGACGGAGAATAGGATAGCAGATGAACAAGGAGGCTTTAGGAAAGGTAGGGGGTGTGTGGATCAGGTGTTTACAGTGAAACATATAAGTGAACAGTATTTAGATAAGGCTAAAGAGGTCTTTGTGGCATTTATGGATTTGGAAAAGGCGTATGACAGGGTGGATAGGGGGGCAATGTGGCAGATGTTGCAAGTGTATGGTGTAGGAGGTAGGTTACTGAAAGCAGTGAAGAGTTTTTACGAGGATAGTGAGGCTCAAGTTAGAGTATGTAGGAAAGAGGGAAATTTTTCCCAGTAAAAGTAGGCCTTAGACAAGGATGTGTGATGTCACCGTGGTTGTTTAATATATTTATAGATGGGGTTGTAAGAGAAGTAAATGCGAGGGTCTTGGCAAGAGGCGTGGAGTTAAAAGATAAAGAATCACACACAAAGTGGGAGTTGTCACAGCTGCTCTTTGCTGATGACACAGTGCTCTTGGGAG